TTGAGGAAAAAAAATATTCCTATAATTCAAACAAAGGACTGTACTTTTCTCCTTGCTATTTTGGCAGAATTGGAAAATGAGTCATTGTTCAAAAATAATGAAAGCTGCTAAAATTAGATATGAAAATTATTTTAATCATATATGACTTTTCCCGAAATTTTATAAAGAGGATGTTACTGAGGCATAGCCACCTAGCAAATGTATCAATGCGTGGGCTGCAACACAGAAAGGAAAATAATATCAATGAGAAATACAAATTAAAATAGAAATAACCCATAAACATTTATGATTTATTGTGAGGGTTATTGGACTCCATTTCGGGTGGGGGATATATTAAGGAATTTCGACTTCTGTGATTTTTATCTGAGTTTTGGCTCTTTTTGAGAGCTGATTTGATGAGAAATTGTCCCCATTTGGTATTTGGTCAAAGAGCCCCTTGGGAAGAAGCCATGCAACGTTTCTCTTTCCCATCCCATAGCTCTGTGGCTTTTAAATTATTCAGTCATTCCACCCTCCTGGCAGAGACTGGTCACAAAAAGAACACCAGACTAGAGAACTCCATCTCTGCTCAGTTAAAAAAACAGATCTTGGGCCGGGGAGATGGCTCAGTGGAATAAGCGCTTCCCTGGCAAGTGCAAAGGCCTGAGTTCAATCCCCAGTTCTGCAAAAAATAAATAAATAAATAAATAAACAAACAAACAAACAGATCTTGCTTATATCCTCTAAGTAAATAGCTGCTTTAACACACAAATGGAGGGCCTTTTGGAGCTCTTGGAAGGGTTTCTAACTCTGAAGCTAACCAGTCCTTTGGTTCCTTCTGTTTAGAAAGCATTACATCTGAAACCATGATTCAAGGACTATTGGTAAATGAAAATCAAATCCCACCCGTTTACAACAACTAGAGCAGGGTGGTTTTCAAAACACAGTTCTGAACAACCAGGACAGAGGCCTCAGACTATCCAGAGTGGCCTTGATTGCGAGAACCAGTTCAGGCATGCGGCTGTGTGCTGACTCTACTCAGCCGGTCCAGGTGGGCCCCAGGGCTTGTGGGCTCTGGCTGCAGCCCTGTCTCCCAGCCCGCCTCGGCCTGCTGCCACTGCTGTCAGAGAGGGCAAGTGACAACCTCTCTGGGTGACGTGTCCTCAGACGGGCAAGAGCGCTGTTCTCACTGCCTGTGCCAGAAGCTCCACCCAGAGCTTGTGATAAAAGAAATCGTACCATGTTTGTTTAGAGCCTTCTACTTTCTAGGAGGCCCCAGAGGAGCCATTTGCTCCAGCTTCACCATCCTGCATTCTCAGATTTAGAGTTTTTGATATGATTTCCCAACAAGGACAATGGTCTGTCTCACAGAGGTGCTGACTGGATCGGGAAGGGAGAGGTCTCTCTCATTCGTTTTCTCTCTCTCTCTCTCTCTTTCTCTCTCTCTCTCTCTCTCCCCTCCCCCCTTTCTCTTTTCAGTACTGCAGATTTAACTATGGGCCTTCACATTGAGCTATACTTCTAATTCTTTTTATTTTTTATTTTGATATAGAGTCTCACTAAATTTCCTAGGTTGTCTAGGCTGGCCTCCAACTTGCAGTCCTCCTGCCTTGACCTCCCTGGTGCTGGGCTTATGGGTGTGCACCACAGAACTGCTAGTTCTTTCTAAATCAACCTGTCTACAAATCCTGTCATTTCCTTGAGGATTTCTTAATACAATATTTTTTTTTTGTCATTTATTCTAACATCTACCTATTAAACACACATTGTGAAGTACAATACTTTTCATGCATTCTGGCACTTAATTTTTCACTATGTATGTAGAAAGATTAGAAAAAAGTAGAATGGCCTAGCATTGCCCTAAAGGTCAGTTGTAACAGGAGGCCCAGGCCTCAGGCCTAGTGTTGCCCAAGGTAACTAACCTGGTGTTAGATTCCCTCTTCTTACAATCACAGCTCTACCCTCAGCCTTGCTCTTTCTTCAGAATGTTTGCTTCCACACACACCCTGTCTCCCTTAAAAGAAGACTTGCCCTTGGGAACCCCAGGAAGCATGAGCCAACTAGGTCAGAGTGAATTCAAGGGGGCCAGATTCAGACTACACTGGAGAACAACACTCAGTAGCAGCCTAAGTACAGTTGTATCTTACATACCGACCAACTCTCAGCTTGCACATGTAAGAAGGACTTGATAGTGTTAAAGTGTCTGAAAACAACTATGCTTACACTCACACAATCATTGTCACTCTTGTTTTTTTTACTTTCTGGCCAGATAGAAAATGAAAAGTCAGTTTTCAGGTGGTAGAGGGATAATGAATGAAGGAAAGCCCTGGAGCTGAGAATGAATAGCAGACAGAGAACGTCCTAGGCCCAGGGCCTCCACAATCAGTTCTGCACTCTCTATCATCTGCTCTTGACACCAGAATGTCAAATTAAGCTTGACCTTGTCCTAAGAGGTCAATTTGAATATGCCCATAAGCTACGAAACATCTACTAAGTGTATATATTTTCAGTCATAGCTTAATTCTTACAAATGAATTAAGTTCATTAATTTGTAGTCACTGGAACAAAGCATTCTTTCTAGAGTTGGCCAAGAGACTTATCAGAATGCCTCATTGTGTGCAGTAGCCTTCAATCACCATCTTAGGGGTTTGGTTTTGCTTTTTAGCACCTTGTTTTAAGCACCTTGCCCTAGGTTATATAACTTATTTTTCCTTGTGTTTTGAGTTTTTCCATTTAAAAAAAAATCCAGAAAAAAAATTCCTTCTTTGAAATTCAAAAATTGGATGGCAATTACTAAGCATATTATAAATATTCTTAATTCCTTGATAAAAGAAATTATAAGACTGGGCATGGTGGAATATGATTGTAATCCCAGCACTCAGGAGCCCAAAGCAGAGTCTCCCTGACTTTGAGGCCAGCCTGGGCTACACTGTGAGTTGAAGTCCAAACTATGTAGTAAGCCCCTGTTTCAAAGAAAGAGAGACAGAAAGAAAAAGAGGGAAAGAGAAGGAGAAGGACAGACATAGAAATTCATGTACAGAGAAGCTAAAAGAAGCATTTGACAATTATTTTAGTTAGTATTTCTTCACATTTCAGTGTCTTTATAAAATCATTTAAGGTATCATCCCAATACTAACAGTTAGCGACATAAGTGGCTTGTCAGAACTGTACAGCAAGGCTACACAACACATTCATTTAAATATAAAAGTGTCTGGGTACCTTTGGGCTCCAAAGAATGTCAAAGCAAATGACGAAAATTTACAGAAGTGATAATGCAGAGTTTTGTGCTCATTTAAATGTAAACTACATGTCGCATAAATCAAATGTGTATTCATCTGAGATTTTAGGAAAACATTTAGGCTTTTCTTCTGTATAATAAAGACCCATTTACAATTAAACCTGAAGGATAATTTATGCTAATCATTTTTATAATTTCTTTATAACAACATAAACCCTTGCACATTGAGTTAAATATGAGCATATATTCAACTTCTATAAGCATAAGCACATATCATCTTCTATGCAGATAACTGTGAACTTGTACAGTATAAGCTATTAGGGAACACTGTGCCTTTACAGCCATATCAAAATTTAAAGTCAATTGTTAATGAAAAAGTCCCTCCTTGACAGAAAATTTTTTTCTTGTGTGTGTGTGACATTATCAGTTGATTCCACTCAGTGCCCCCTTTGATGGTCACCAGCTCCTCAGCTTGCTGTCTGGAGCTCAGTTTCTTAAGAATTCAGGAATTAAAAGAAAAAAATCATGCACTCTATTCACGCCAGAGCCACATTCCCCTTGCCTGCTTCTGGGAAGCACTGAGTCAGCAAACAAACCCATGGAAGAGGGACAGCTCTGCTGGAGAAAGGGTCAGTCAGCTGGAAGATGGCCCCAGGTCTCCACTCTTGACTAGGGGTGGGGAAGAAAGAAGGCACAGGAGGGGAAGAGGTGCAGAGTCTTCACTCCTGAGGAGGTTCCTCCAGCTGTTTGCCTAACAAGCGCAAGATCCTGAATTCAAGTCCTGGTACCAAAAACACAGAAGGTGCCTCTTCAACTTCACATGAAGGGCTGTGGACCAGATTCTGTAATCAAGAAAACCCACAACCAGAATTCCAATGTGTGGGCCATTCCAGGGTGAAAGGCAAATGCAGTTACAGCATTTACTCTTTTGGATGATTTATGAAATTCCAATATATGTTTTGGGAACATAATACAAGATTAGGAGAGGCAGAGTGGAGAACAGTAGTGGCAAGGAGATGATTGTTTATATCTGACATCATTGTACGAATCATCTGCAGTTCTTTGGAAACTCCCTAAACTAAAAGGAAGCAGCAGCAACAGGTATGTGGTGCATCCGTGGGCATTTGCGCTAGCAAAGGCAAGTGACATGAACTAGCACAGCTCCAAATGTCACCTCTGGAAGGAAAAAGTATCAGTGCACACCTCAGTTTCAAAGACCCATTTTAAAGAAAGCAGGATCAAGTGAAGAAGAGGTTTTGGCATTTGAACAGCCCTCAAATTCATCACTAATGTGTGCAGCATTGGGAAAGAAAAGTTATGTTCATTGATTACATAACGAATAACTTTGCGAAGCCTTTTTAAAATGCTGATTCACAAAACAGGGTTTACATATTGTTCATTAGCAATAGTGTGTGGGGAAAAAAATGTGCGTGTGGTTTGACAAATGAAATCAACTTTTCCAGAATGAAAAAGATTCCTACATCGTCTCATATAAACACAGTTGATAAGACCTAACGTACCAGGAGTGGGTATACAAGTCACATTTTCTTAACACCTAAGGCCCCACTAAGACTTCTGTCCTCACATGTTACAGCTCGGGGTCATTCCAAGTCCCACCAAAAGTTGTTCCCTTTCTCCCCGCATCCAGCCCGCTCATGCGCGCGCGCGCTCACACACACACACACACACACACACACACACACTCACACGCATGCACGCCCGAGTGGCACACAGCAGCGCTGTCCCTTCCAGCGGGTCGCGGGAGCCCAGCAGCTCACTTTACCTCCCGCGCAGGCACGGTGCCGGCCGGCTCCTCGGGTTCCAGAGCTGCCATCGCTCTCTGCCTCTTTCCCCTTCTGGTTCAGCAGCTTGGGGCCCTCTGCGTTTTCAACAGGTACCATGGTCACGTAGAAGTTACAGCCTCACCAAACCACCGTGTCCTGCACCGCCGACAGGACTGGTCACTTTCCCCATGGTACCACACTAAGGAAGAGTCGCGGGGGTGGAGGGGGGGGGACAGGTCTTCGGGCAAAGCCAATGTGATTTGTGACCAACTTTGTTTCTATTTCCGAAAGGCTTTGCCCTTTGCGGTGACACAGGCTGTTGCTATTCCAAGCAGCCTATCACAGGCAGGGGGAGGGCCCAGTCCGGACGGTTGTTGCTGCCTTTGGATGCGGAGTTGGAAGCAAGAGTTAAAAGACTTGCTTACAAGTCTCCACCACAGTGTGTGGCCTTTAGTTGGGGCTAGCTCTTGTGTTCTTGCACCTTTAAAAACAGGCAAAGAAAGGAAAGTGCGGATTTAAACGCCAGCTGAGAGAGGCGACAACACTCACAGATAGTATCACCTAATCTTGCAGAAGAGAAATAACTTATGCAAAGACATACCGGAAGGAAAAGTGTGTTAATTTTTCATCAAGACTATCATTCCAAGAGCCAGGATACTTACTAGCTTACACAAAACTTAAAACATCTTTATCATTTCAATCTAATTGCAGTCTAGGTAAATGCCTCGTGTACTTCCTCTTCTAGGGCCTGTCAAGCAAATCAAAGCCTGCAGCCAACTCAGAATACACAGATTCTTTAGATTTTGTTTATCTTGAGATGACAGCAAGTTAATCCGGTTTTAAATGCCCAAAATTGTCTAAAAGAAAGAAGTAATCCTCAATCTTCTATCAGGTTGAATGATTGCTTGGGTAGGAGGTAGACAGTCCCCACTCAGGAAGATGGATGAAATGACCCACGGCGTGAGTGTACTGGTCATGTAACTTGAAACACAGAAGGGTATAGGAGGAAAGACTGCTCTTCTGATTTGTGAATATATTTATATAAAGTCTTATTGAGTAATACTCTTTTGCCTTCAGTTACATGTTTAGCAAATCACAGGTGTTTAAAAAAATTATAGCGAAACTAAGATCTTCTCAGAAAATCACTTGGGAGTAGAAACTAAATTCTATATAGTATTTACATGTCAGAAATTATACTAAGGTCAGTAACTCAAATGACCCTTTCTAGGGGTTAGGGAGACAAGCTTGCAATATTCGACCAAGGAAGTAGAGGCTGAGTAATTTGACTCAAGGCTTCGAGCTAGTTAGCACAAAGCTGAGATGGTGAAGCCAGGAGGTCTAAGGCCATTACTATCCTCCGGGGTAACTACTTAGCTTTGTCCTTCTTGACTAGCTCTTCTTGACTTTGTTTTTATTTTTATTAGTCCACATTTGCAGTCCACATGATTGTATTCATTGTGAGGAGTTGGTATACAGCGTGTAATACAAAGATGACTTAGGCAACTGCCTTAATTTGTTCCTGGGTTGCACTGATACCACAGGAGTGGCAGTTTGTACTTATGAGATGTGTTTCTCAGCAGTTCTCCATCTTCTCTTGGCTTTTGTCTTCTTTCTGCGTATAATCAGTGACCTGCTTGGAGGGCCGTGGTGTCCTGGGCGAGTTGTAGGAGTGCATTGTTTCACGATCCCTAGGACCTGTGTCAGCAGAGGTGTTAGAGTGTTTGCTGTGGCAACTGAGCAGACACAAGCGAAGCCTAATTCCAGATGACCTGATTCTGGTGGAAAGTAGTTCAACAGTTCTCGCTCTGCTTTTATTGCAGCCAAATTATCCAGTACTCTGCAGGTATAAACCAACCAAAATTCAAAAGAGTGAAGAAACAATGAGATTGACCATCTACTTCCTGGTTCGCCTAATTCTGTTGCCTGTCCTGTTGTTGACCAGACAGGAGCCAATATCTTGCTCACCTCATTCTCTTAACTCAGGGAAAAGCTTAAAAGGAGCTTTTGTTCAGGAAGGGGGGGGGGCGGGCATTTTCTTTAAGTTCCCTTAATATCCTATGCTTCCCATGTTTAGCATCTTTATAATGAATTTATTAGTTAGCTGTATTGTTTGGGTTAAATCTGTCTCTTCCAATGGATCAACAACTCCTCAAAGTGTGGACCATATTCTATATGGCTTAGTAGGGAGTTTAAGAGGAGAGTACATACAAAGCGGATTCTGCTAGCTGAGTCAGGGCTTAGGCTGTGGTATTCCAGAGTATGACACCTCAGATGCTGGGTGCTTTGATCTGAAGGCTGTTAGCAGGGCCTCAAGAGCTAAGTTTCTTTGAATTTCTCCTGCTCTCTTATTTCTCAATACTTGCACTGTCCTCAGGCAAATCTTTGAAACCAGAAGTCCTTTTCCCTAAGGTAAGCTGATTTTCCTCAAAGCAAGTCATAAACTAAGGAGAATCAATCTCCCTCTCCCCTGAAGAAGGCTCCTACCCCATACTCCAAGGAGAGAAATGCAACACAGTGAGTCCAAGAAGAAGCTGAATAGGCTTTGCTGGCTTCTCCTCTCAGTTACTATCGCATGACACCCTTCTGTCCACTTGCATTTTTACACGGCTGTGCATTATTCATCCAAGCCAAGCATAAAAACTACCAATGTTCCCTGGATCTTTGGGTCTTTATTTCTGAAGACTTCTATGTTACACAAAACTTTGATTAAATCAATCTCTTTGCTTTTGTCTTTTTAACCTCATTTCTCTGACCATCGTACCAGCCATAACCCTTAAGATGGCTAAGGAAAGGGCTTCCACATCTCAGCCTTTACAGCTAAAAGACTGATTCCCTGTAAATCCAATAAGCTTTATCATAACGAGAATGTGAGCCAAGTTCAGGCACTTGTACCTATATATTCAGCTACCTCCATATTCCTGGATCTTAGGACAATATGCAATAGACACTCAGTAATTACTTGTCAAACAAGTGAGTGCTCACTTAGAGCTTTTAGAGCCAAATAACTATTCGGATATTTACTATCAATACCTATGTGATGATTGGCCATGATTCTGTGATATGTTTTTATTCTTTCTGGCAATGCCTTTGTAGCAAATGTCACTAAAGGATGTCTTTCTTTCCCAGAGTCTAAAACACTGCCTTCACTGAAAGCTACTCATCTACTTAAGGGATGTAAGTCTACTATCTGCTGAGAGACAGGTCATTCCTCATAACCCCAACAATCTTGCTACATACCATTTGAGACCACTACCCATATCCAATGCAGTCAAATCTGAAAACACTTCTCATGGCTTATAAACTGACAGAATAGTGAACTACATGCCTTGCCTTGTGAAGTGCATGCTACGACTTCTATTTTGCTGAAATCCAAACTGAGAAGTTTATAAAACATGCCCAAAATCAAAAGATATTTTCTGATGTTTTCACATGAAAAGTTTGAATGACACAGGAAAATATAATTTTGCAACATTTGTCTGCTAGTCCCTCATTCATCAGTTGATCCATATTACTTTGTATGCCTTTTAAAGTAAGTTGAAGTGCTTCAGATGCAGGTTATTAACTAGAACTCAATATTTATTTATATTCTTTTTATCTTTTAGGCAAGCTATATATACAAGGGAGATCATAAATCCTAAACGTACCATTAGATGTGTTCAGAGAAAAGATACACAAAAAAAGAAAAAAAAGAAAAAAGAATACACACAACCCAAACTCTTATTATGTTATAGAACATGATCATCATTCCAGAAATTTCCTTTATGTATCTTCTGAATAAATTTTTATCCCAATCTCTTAAGAGTAACCAATGACTTGATTGTTTTTCACAGAAATCAACTTCCATAATCATCATATTATAGAACTGGAGAACATTTATTCTTATGTAAGTCTTCTTTCAATGAGTATAATTTGAGATTGGTTCAGTTTTTGTTTATTAGTAATTTGTTCTTTTATTGCTGAACAGTACTTCATGGATGTCTACACTAGAGGTTTTTTTCATCAGTACAGAATATAATACTTGCAGAATTTCATCTTCACATTCCCTATGTGGGGTTTATACATGTGTGTAATAAATCTTAGTTATTTTTTTAGTCTCTTCCCTATCTCTTGATGCTTTTCCCATTTGAAAAAGTCTAGCCTCCTATTTCCTATTATCTTTTTTAGGAGAGAGTGATATTTAATGATACATTGCTCTTCAGGGAAATAATTACAGAGTCTTTTGGAAAATAATCTGAAAACACACAGCCATGCAGGACAGGTCTATTTTCTTACCACAACTACTGTAAACAGTAATCTTCTTCTCTCCAAAATGACCTGCATCTTACATGAAAATAGTTGCAAGCAGGGAAACCAAGCATCTAGCTTTGTGGCTGAAAGTAAAACAAAACAAAACAAAAACAAACAAACAAACAAACAAACAAAAAGAAAAACAACACAAAGGAAAAAGAACAATTCTTTGATTAACCACCAGTAAAAGCAGAGACTCCAGTGCCCTTTACCATGCTATCTGGGCCTCCTCTCTAGTCTTGTCCTTTCTGTCAATCTTCAGCACATCCATGTTAGCGCTCCACAGCTTGGAGCCACCATGGAAACTTACTTCTTTGGAGCTCAGCACAGGGCTGATCTTCTTTTCCATCCATAGCTCTCAACAGACCTTTGTATTCTGTGGGCTCAACACCCTCCGCAGAACCCTTCTTTGGGATGGATCTAGTTTGGCCATTATATTTTTTCAGGGTGATGAAAATGCTGGCTGACTTCCAGCACTTCAGTTGTTATTAGCTATATCCCAGAAAAATATCTTATTATGATTGTTGGGAAGGATATTAATTATTTACTCTGTTTGCATTAGCTACATTACTCTCTGAAAGTTTTCAATATAGTTCTCTTCATTATGTTTAGAATATTAACAATCATAATATATTAATCAAAGTTCTTCAATTTACAAAATAAGTATAAATTTACTGTGTTCACTTGGAGTAATTTATATAATAAATCAGTAGATGAAAGGCAATGTAGCAAAGGAAAAATGTTATTTCTATTAGTTTATGTGAGAAAATTAGATGGGAAAATTGTATGTACAATACTATCACGATGAGTTTTAAAAATTATAGATGTATGTTGTTCAAGACCAAAAGCATACATGAAGAAAAGTTTTTAAGAGTAGTATTTATTGAGAAAAAGAAAGCATCTCTCTAAAAGGTACAGAAGGGGGTTCCGAGTGGGTGGACCCATACAGGGAAAAAAAAAGAAAATAATTCAATTGCTATATTAG